GGGTCTAAGGAAGGGTTCAAGGACGGTAGAAGAGTCCACAGTCAGTGAACCAATCCTTGAATCCAAGCCTTGTGAAAAATATTCTCAGGCAAGGGTCTATGGAAGGGTTCCTGGAAGGGTTCAAGGAAGGTGGAAGAGTCCACGGTCAGTGAACCAATCCTTGAAACCCAAGCCTTGTGAAAAATATTTTAAGGCAAGGTCTAAGGAAGGATTCAAGGACGGTGAAAGAGTCCACGGTCAGTGAACTAATACTTGAACCCAAGCCTCGTGAAAAATATTCTAAGACAATGGTTTAAGTAAGGGTTCAAGGACGGTAGAAGAGTCCACGGTCAGTGAACCCATCCTTGAACCCAAGCCTTGTGAAAAATATTCTAAGGCAAGGGTCTAAGGAAGTGTTCAAGGACGGTGGAAGAGTTTACGGAATGTGAACCCATCCTTGAACCCAAGCCTTGTGAAAAATATTTTAAGGCAAGGGTCTAAGGAAGGGTTCAAGGAAGCTGGAAGAGTCCACGATCAGTGAACCCATCCTTGAACCCAAGCCTTGTGAAAAATATTCTAAGGCACGGGTTTAAGGAAGGGTTCAAGGACGGTGGAAGAGTCCACGGTCAGTGAACCCATCCTTAGAACCCAAGCCTTGTGCAAGGCAAGGGTCTAAGGAAGGGTTCAAGAAAGGTGGAAAAGTCCACGATCAGTGAACCCATCCTTGTAAAAAAACTATTCTAAGGTTATGATTCACGGACGAGATTGATTTAGAAAAATGAAACTCGTCAGTTAAGCCTAAAATAATCCTAGACCCTATATAAGTCTTTTAAGCCTAAAATTTAACCATTCCAAATCACTCTTTAAATTTCCCCAAATCTCTCCAAGTTCTTTCCCCAAATATTTCTCTCTCTAAAAGAAGAAAAAGAAGTCAAGCTAGGGATTTCAACACCAAGTCTCCTAATCCTCCATCGATTGCAAGTTTTTGGCATCAAGGTATGATAGTTTTCATTCATGGATTTCTTCTATTCACGGAGTTCCCAAATTCTCCTATTTTCGAAGTTACAAATCCCTAATTGAGTTAGGGTTTTCTTCAATTGTCGTGAGCTCTCTTCAATGTTGATTTAAATGATTGAATTATGATCTATTATGCATGAATTGATGAAATACTATGATTTTTATGATGATTCTCCATGAACGGTAAATCCCATGTTTTCCAATTATGATGATATGATGTGGGTCTTGAACTACGAAAGGTGAATCATGAAATTATGCATATTCAAGAAAGATGGAAGAGTCCATGTTCAGTGAACCCATCTTTCATCCCAAACCTTGTGAAAAATATTCTAAGGCAAGGTTCTAAGGACGGGTTCAAGGACAGTGAAAGAGTCCACGACCAGTGAACCCATCCTTGAACCCAAGTCTAGTAAAAAATATTCTAAGGCAAGGGTCTAAGGAAGGGTTCAAGGACGGTGGAAGAGTCCACGGTTAGTGAACCCGTCCTTGAACCCACGCCTTGTAGAAAAAAATTCTAAGGCAATGATTCACGGACGTGTCCACGGCCGGTAGAATGGTCCACGGGCAGTAAACCCATCCGTGGATATTTACGTAGAAAAAAATTCCCCGGTAGAATGGTCCACGGGCAGTAAACCCATCCGTGGTGATTTACTTAGAAAAAAATTCTAGGCCTCTGGTTCATGATAGCCTTTACTAGCCGTGAATCAAAGAATGGCAGGTGAAACCCGTCAGTTAACTTTTTCAAGGTTATATGGGTCATTTCCTATGCATCTAATACCAAAATTAAATCATTTTAATCCTAATCCTAGACCCTAAATAAGTCTTTTTAACTCAAATTACACCCATTTACTCCATTATTTTCCAACACTCAAATCAAAACCACAAAGTTTATCTTCTAAACAAAATTTCTCTCCGCCATTTACTCCATTATTTTCCAACACTCAAATCAAAACTACAAAGTTCATCTTCTAAACAAAATTTCTCTCCCTAGAACTCAAAGAAGACGAGTAGAATTGGAGCTAGGGCTTGAAGAAACAAGGCTATTTCACTCAATTTCTTTGGAGAATCATAACTAAGGTATGGTAGTCCTTCATCCATGGAGCCCTTCCAAACTAAATTTCTCAACTAGTTATTTTCTCCAAAAGTTAGGGTTTGACTTCAATCTTATGGGTTCTTTCAAAAAACATTTTTAATGGTTGATTTATGATGGATTAGGATTGAATTGATGACTTATTGATGATTTATTGTTGATTTATGATGAATTCCCCCAAGAACCCATGAAACCCCATGTCCCCCAATTTATGCCTTTGTGATGTGGGTGAATCGATGAAGGAAGAGTACTATGAGATTATGCTTGTAGTAATTTAGTTAATTGATTCATGTTATTATTCATATCTAATGTAGTAAGTCTAGATGTGTGATGGAATGTGATCCTTGACCCAAGAGGGGTGAACCCACATCAGGGTTCTCGGTTTTGTGGCTAGAGGTTGATTTGAGAGATTTCGAGCTTTTGTGAGTCCTCATATTTCGAGGACTAATTTTCATTGATTTAGTTTTCTTTCTTACTTTCAGTTTTGGACATGATATATGGGCTAGGCCCAATTTGATTCTTATGTACTAGATGGCTAACTGCATCTCCAACCCTAATCTCTATTTTACTCTCCAAATATAGAGTTCTCTATTGTATGAGACAACCAACTCCAACCCAATTCTCTATTTTACTCTCTATTTTACTCCAACCCATCCTTGAACCCAAGCCTTGTGAAAAATATTCTAAGGCAAGGGTCTAAGGAAGGGTTAAAGGAAGATGGAAGAGTCCATGTTCAGTGAACCCATCCTTGAACCCAAGCCTTGTGAAAAATATTCTAAGGCAAGGGTCTAAGGAAGGGTTAAAGGAAGATGGAAGAGTCCATGTTCAGTGAACCCATCCTTGAACCCAAGCCTTGTGAAAAATATTCTAAGGCAAGGGTCTAAGGAAGGGTTAAAGGAAGATGGAAGAGTCCATGTTCAGTGAACCCATCCTTGAACCCAAGCCTTGTGAAAAATATTCTAAGGCAAGGGTCTAAGGAAGGGTTAAAGGAAGATGGAAGAGTCCATGTTCAGTGAACCCATCCTTGAACCCAAGCCTTGTGAAAAATATTCTAAGGCAAGGGTCTAAGGAAGGGTTAAAGGAAGATGGAAGAGTCCATGTTCAGTGAACCCATCCTTGAACCCAAGCCTTGTGAAAAATATTCTAAGGCAAGGGTCTAAGGAAGGGTTAAAGGAAGATGGAAGAGTCCATGTTCAGTGAACCCATCCTTGAACCCAAGCCTTGTGAAAAATATTCTAAGGCAAGGGTCTAAGGAAGGGTTAAAGGAAGATGGAAGAGTCCATGTTCAGTGAACCCATCCTTGAACCCAAGCCTTGTGAAAAATATTTTAAGGCAAGGGTCTAAGGAAGGGTTCAAGGAAGGTGGAAGAGTCCACGGTCAATTTTCTTTCTTACTTTCAGTTGTGGACATGATGTATGGGCTAAGCCCAATTTCATTCTTATGTACTAGATGGCTAAGGGCATCTCCAACCCCAATCACTATTTTACTCTCCAAATATAGAGTTCTCTATTATGTGAGACAACCACCTCCAACCCAATTCTCTATTTTACTCTCTAAAAAGAATCTTTTTTCTCTCATCAATATTATATTATTATTTCTATTTCATTCTTATTTTCTTATTTCATAATATACATCCTTTATTTCTTTTTTTCAAATAATCACTTTATATTATTTTCATTTAAATATAAAATTTTACCCGTTCAAATTTTTACTTCATATAAAATTATATTTTTTTCCTCAAATTCTAAAACACTTAAATTGCAAGCGAACATTATATAATATAAAAATTAATGGACAATTCAAATCAAAGTGAAATTATTAATGAAATATAATTACATAAATACTCTACTTTTAAGATTATTATTTTGCTCTCATAAATGTTCTATTAATGCATTATGAAGTTCAAAATGAACATTTTTACCCTTAATTATTTTATGTCTAGCTAAAGATTGTTCAAATCCGAGATTTTCATGCAACAAGAACAACTAAGAATAATTGAAAAAATAAATCAACAAGCACAACCGCAATCACAACTACACTAATTATGTGGATCATACACTAATTTTTTCCGAACATTCTTAAATCTGGAAACAACCTACCGCATTACTAAATTATTGTTGTGATAAAATTATTATGTTATGCATTGTTATCTTGTAATTAAATTATTATGTTATGTATTGTTATCTTGTATTTAAATTATTATGTTATGTATTGTATTTTTAAATTAAATTTTTCATCTTATCATTTTAATTTTGTGCATTCTTCATAGTGAAAATTAATGATGATATCAAACTATATTAAAGTAACGAAAATTTTAAAAAATTGGAACATTACTAATTCGGGATGAAAGTAGTATATATTAAATAATATATTTGCTAATTACAAAATCATAGAAATAATAATAAAATAATGAAAAAGTGAAATAGAGAGGTGAATAGTAGTTCTCCCAATTTGGAGAACTACTATTCACCTCTCCATAAATGGAGAATAGAAAGTCATTTAGAGAATGGTTGGGAGAGCTCATTCTCTATTTTACTCTCCAAATGTAGAGAATGGAGGGTAAAATAGAGGTAGGTTGGAGATGGTCTAATGAGATAAGTGTTTAGACTTCCGCTTTACATTTATAAAATCTTGAACTTGAAATGTTGTTCTTTACCTCTCCTCATTCTATGTCGTATGTTATGAATGCTAAGTAGCTTGTATGGGGACTTTTGGGGTCCTTGGGTCGTGACAAAAGATATCTCAACTAGCGCTATTCGTGGATATAATATAATTATAATGTCTTAGTTCCTTGACCAATTCCCCACATTTGTGGTATAGTACTATTCGTGGATATAATAATTGAATATCCTTAAAAGTAACCAGGATGGGATAAATCATTGGGTTCTAACAGATTGTTAGAATGAGAACTTACTAATACAAATAGGCCGCACCTCCAAGAATTATGCACAACAAAATGATGTCAGAAGTTTCAGCTAGATCTCAGTTGAAAAAGGAAAAGACTTGTTAAATCTGGTAACATCAAAAGATAGAAGTACTATCCTGCAAACTGCCTCAACTTACGGAGAATGACATAAGATAGTTGACGCTCAATTTACCTGGTTAATCGTGCCCTTAAGCCTAACATTCGTATTCTTAAGGTCAGATGTAGCCTTGTCGATCTGTCCACAAATTAAAGCAAATTAGCACAAGTTTTGAACTCTTTTTTTTAAACTGACTAAGTAATTACAATAAGATTTTATGACCTTAGACTCAGTCTCATCCATCAGAGGACTTGCCTATCCAACTCCTTCATAGATTGGATAATCATTAATATCCACATTATAGAAGGAGGAAAACAGACCACACAAAAAGAATCCCAGACCTCATTCATATCACTGACCATGTTTTTCGAAGTATCAAAACTTTCTAATATGACCTCCAAACCTTGATCCTATGAGAAGTCGAAACAAAACCATACATCGGTATTTAGGAACCAACAAGTCAGCAATAAGATGTAATAAAAGGCAAAAAACTTCCAATGAATCTGTTATTGATGCGTTTGTCGGGAAACAATATTACAGACGCCAGAATGATTAATATTTCTGAATTATTGTTCTAGTTGTTTTAGTCGAACATAACTTCCTGAGGGGATTAGGATTCTTATTATTTTAGTTTTATAGGACTTTGTTATTTTTAATTTATTAGGACTCTTGCTATTGTAAACCTCTACTTAAGAGAGTTGACATGATTAATAAAATAAGTTGGATTTTATCAAGTTTCAGAGATTCGGAACTTTCTCAAACAAGTTCCCAGGTCTGCAATTCCCTGAATGAATTGCAAATTTCAGCAATCATAGGCAAGTCAAGGAACAAGAACAGGGGATTAGACCTGTCTATTGGACCTGACTTTTCAGTTAATCGTCCAACGACTCGATCCAGAACTAGGGACCATAACAGAATCATGAACAAGACCTTAATGAAATATTCCAAAAAAATACATGCATGTTACATTTTGCAAAATTCATATTCTTGTTGGAATTGACTTGATTCTTCAGTTTGTTGAAAGTATCATCAAATTGTCCATTTTGTATCCATTCCAAATATAGAAAGAAATGATAAACATATCATCACGATAAAGGAATTGTATAACATTGAAGCGGATAAATGATTAGTGTGGAGGGGAAAAGCCTTTGGAACGAATGCAATTTTATAACCTAAATCAAATTTAATTTCTGCACGAGAACCTGAACCTCCCCATCCACCAGATTGTTTGGGTGTAGCTGCTGCACCATCTGAAATTGCAGTTATCCTATTGGGTAGTGCAAGTACCAAATCATTACATACAACAAATTCTTTGCTTGAAAGCCCTTTAACCTGCAAGAGGAAGTATTGTTAGTTGACAAAACAAACCCACTAAAATTAGGTTATTTCTTGTGAAGCACAGGCAAACACTGGAGGAAAACAGTCCTAAAGAAATCCAAATAATATAATAACGGAGAAAGGAGTGTATGAGAGCCAGTGACAAGAACCAACTGCACAGACTAAGCTCTTAAGTAACATTATACTTCTATAGCTATTTGTCATACTAAATAGAGAAGGCTTGATGCCATCACTACAGAGTGGACGATGATTTGAGGTCAAGTATTAGAGCATTTTCAGACATACAAGAGGATGGACATGAGAGCTTAACTGACATTCAACCGAATCAATCCTGGTTGATACATATAAATTCTTTGCAAAAGGATGCCCAGAAGATGAATGGGAAAATATGTAGACACCCCCATTATCATTTCCACTTAAGATCCCTGATGTTTTTTACAATATGCAATCCTACCATCAAACTTTGTTTCTACAACTACAACCAGGTCCAGCTGCAGGACATCGCACAAGCAAACCTAGCTGCTCTAACTGTGTGCAACGATATGAATGAAAATCCCAGCACATGTATAAGCAAAACTGGTTAAGCAATCTACAGGTGCTACATCTCTCACATGACTACCATAACCAATAACACTTTTATAGAGATAACATCACAAATAATGTTAAGAATGAGATGGCTAACTCTTCCAAAATCATCGAGACAAGGCACTTCGATGATAAATCTTGAAGTTCTTGACTGCAGCCATCCTTCAACCAGAAGGGGACCTTCATCTTGGAACCTTCAGATGAGTACACAGTTAAAGACATCCATGAAGAATTCCTGCGCTAAGTGGCCTTTCGCATCAATGGCCCTTCTGATCCGGATCCAGAGGAACTATCGCAATCGGAATCACTTGAGGATGAACCCGAATCGCTGCTGGAACTGCTTGAACTACGAGACCTCCTTGCATTATCCATCTGTCTTCCCACTTCTGCATATGTAGCGAGCACTAATGTTATTTTTACCAGTATTACTGTTTAGTGCACCAGCAACCATAGGAGCAGAATTCATAACTGGGGCAGTCCGTGCAATTCCTCTGGCTTGCAGAGCAAGTTCAGCCTTTCTCTTCTGCTTGCTTAAGTTCTTTTTGTAATTGGTCACAAACCTTTCAAGCTCCCAGAAGCTTTCCGCATCAACACTGTCTATGTCTAATTCAATCTCATCATCATGTTGATAAAATGTTGAGTTCCTCTTCTTAATAATCTGAACAACAGTATCAAACTTTTTAAAGGTAAACTCTGAAGATATGTGTTGAGTCTCTGTTTTTCTTCATAGGTCATTTCCCTTTTATTGGGATCATTTGCTTTAGGTTTCTTAGGAACTGGTACCCTACCAACATGATTCAGGGAAGGCGTTGAGTATTGAGGCTGGCTCTTCTAGACCGTCGGCGGTGGGACCATTTGAGTCACTGGCCGAAGAGTTGAGGGTAGTCCGAGAGTTGGAGACCAAGCTGCCTCAAGGGCCAGGTGAGACATCTGCGGGACCTAATTCTTTGTCCCACAACAGGAGTTTGACGTTTTCTTGAAGGATCAAAGGAAGAAAAAAGCTCATCAATTGAGGTTGGAGAAGGCGTACACTGATCTTGCTAAATCACATGGTGAGTTGAGTCGCTCCCACAAAAAGTTGAAGAAGAGAGAACAAAAGAGACAAAATTTTCACCCGGGTGTGGAAGGGGTGAAAGGGTTTTGAAAGGTCCTTAAAGCTAATGATCCGCTTTCCTCATCGAGACCGGATGAGAGTAATGATGTTCCGGCACAGTGGTCTGAGGATGATGATGTTGATGACAGTGAGGCGACCGAGAGTGATGACAGCGAGTGATGCAGTCCAGGGAGCCCCTCATATTCTCTTTATGTTTTCATGTTGTACTATGAGGACACAGTACCATTCTTAGATTGGGGTGCTCCTCCTAGGGTTCTTTTGATGTTTTTGTTTAAGTTAGGATTGTTATAATTGGATTTGGTTTGTTTGTATTATTTTTTAGATTGTTATGGTGGAAGCTTAGAACAGCTCATCCATGGCAGTTACCTGCAGATTTAGAGAAGAAGAAATGAGGAAGAAGGGAAGAGAGAAGAGAATAAGGAGAGAAGAGAGAATAATTTGGTAATTATTGGTTAGGTTCCCTCGCTCCAGCTGATATCTGTTATAACAGATTCCATTAACTGCTAGGTTAACTAGGACAGTTGATCACGCCAGTTGTGCTAGATTATGAACTGTTTGATGCATGCCTCCATGTGACTCACACGTGCCTCTAATAACTTCAGCTTCCTCCAAGTGTATTCTACCACTGACCTCTTTCTAGATATTTCTCTTGCTACTTTCCTATACTTATCAGCTACTTCCCCAATTTCATAGTTCAAATCTCTAATTCCCTTTCTTACCTTCTATTTGTTACAACTTCATTAGTTGGATTGGTTATTTTTCCTTCATTGTAGATGGTGTTTCTCAAATTAATAGAAAATCAGAAAATTGTGTCCCAATTTTTGTTTCTGTCAATTAGTTTGTTACACATACTCTAAGGTTATCGTACTATTTTTGTCGAGCTAACAAGTAACAACCCTTCAATACTGATAATAAAACAGAAAGTTACCCTTCATGGAGCTAAAGGTAAAGTAAGCAAGCATGATAACAACAACATTAACATATCAAGTATAGTCCAACAAAGTGGGGTCTGAAGTGGCTAGAGTGTATGAAGACCTTACACCTACCTCAAAGATAGAAAGGTTGTTTTCGAGATAAGCAAGCATGATAAATGACAAAGAAATCCCAATGCAAAGTCAAAACTAATTGATTAACATATGAAGTTCTTAAGGTTAATCATACTTAACCACATCATCTTTTTCAGATCAACATTCATAACCCTCCTCAGATAGCAAAATATACTCATAACTCATAAACCTCTCTTTATAGCTAAAACAAAAGGTTTAAGTTCATTCAAGCTGATTAAAATTTGAATTATACAAACTCTTCTTAGGTTCTACTTCAAGAAATGAACTTTTCCATGTAATTTCGTCTTGTGGTCCACAGTACATTGGTTTATTGCTTGAGTAGAACAGTGAGAGGATCTGTGTTTCTAAAGTCGCAAAAACCCAAATATGCCTCTTTCTACTAATATCAGTTTGCTTATCAATCTCCCCACCTCTTGAGCCACAATTGAGTTCAATAAACCCAAAACAGAAATTCATCAGAGAAAAATCAGTAGAGTAAATTGACCAAATTATGAAGGATAACAAAATGAAAACACCTTCTTCACAGCCAATCTTTGCAATTTGGGAACATCCTCAATTAATCTAGCCTTTATTCTTAGAATATCTGCATTGATCCTCACCGAAGACGCTCTATTTTTTTATTTCTAAGCTGTATATGCTTTCTACTACCCCAAATGCCTTCAAATGTTCGAATTTAGGAGTACGATGTAGATATTTAGGCTTTCTGTGACAAAAAAGAAGTAAATTGAAGAGCAGTGAGAATTGAAGTGACCTGAAGAGCGGCTTCAATGTCGGAATTGATGGCGGTGTAAAGAGCAGCTTCAAAAATCAAAAGAATCATTGCCAGCTTCAAAGACCAGCTCCAAAATATTGTACTTCTTGCAAATGCAAGTTTTGAGAGACAATTAAATGAAAGTTTTCAATTAAGTTTGAGTTTTGTTTTTGGTGACACTTTGACCAAGAAATGGTCAAATTCACTATAAAATGTAATTAAGTAAATTTGGGACCAAATTAACATTTTCAAAATTTTCTACTCTTTCATAAAATACAAAAAAACACTTCATTTTTCAAATTTTATAATTCTATCCAAACCATTTTTTAAAAAAGTAAAAGAAAATAGAATTTTCTTTCTTCTTCTCCCAACGTTCTCTCTTCTCTTCTCTTCTTCTTCTTCCTTGGAAAATCCAAAAATCCAACTATCAAAATAAATATTCTCCCTCATTATATTATCTTCCTCCTCATCTCCGGCCGTGACTCTCTCTTCTTTCTGAACTAAAGATTGTGTTCGACTTAAAATGGGCTAGTCAGTTTTTTGAAAGATTTTATAATTTTTGAACAGTACTAAAAAAATTTCTTAGGTTAATGAACAATAAATCGTTCTATAGATATGAAAATTGAATAATAGTGTAATGGTACCTATAATTTATTGTTTTTGAAAGAAAATCAACAAATCCAAAAAAGCCCTAATTTTGAGGAAATGTATATGTATTGTTAACATTCAGTGAAAAAATCATTTTTTGTTGCTTTTGTTGTTTTTTTGTGCCATTTTGTTCATATGATTTTAAAAATATAGTCTTGTTCAGTTATCCAACATATATTTCATTTTGTTGAAAGATGTATCATATGTTGCTACATTTTAGTGATATGTTGGTATATATTCCAACAAAGTTGTCATATGTTGGAACATATCACATATGTGTTAGGCAACAAATGGTCATATGTAGTAACAGAAGATTCATTTGTGGCACATGAAGATTTATGTGTGGCCACAGAAGATTCATTTGTGGCAACAGAAGGTACATATGTCTCAACATAATATCCATCTATGTCAACATAAGTATAAATTGCTACCCATTATTATTTTATAATCAATTGTAAACTCTCAACCTCTTTTTATTTACCTTGTAGATGAAATGATACAAGAAGCTTCATCCATGACAACAACTCAATCTTTTATTGGTGTTGCTTCCTCTTCTAATATCAAATGTTATTTTTGTCTATGCAAAGATTGTGAGCAGCAACATGATTATTTTATTAGTCGTGTTAAAGAACTCACTGATATTTTTAAGGAAATGACTTATAATATTGATGTCCATACATCCAAGAAGATTTCACAACCTTTGAAGTGTAGGAGGTTGAAAAAATCTATTTTCCAATCACTATCTTTAATTAGTGAAAGAAAAAAATCGATGACTACTGCTCCAGTATCACACTCAAACCCAAAAGGCAAGGAGAAGGAGAAGGAGAAGTAGAAGTAGAAGGAGGGAGGAGGAGGAGGAGGAGGAGGAGGAGAAGGAGAAGGAGGAGCAAGATAAGGAGAAGGAGAAGGAGCAAGAGAAAGAGAAGGAGAAAGTGAAAAGGAAAGCGAAAGAGAAAGAGAAAAAGAAAGAGAAGAAAGTCAAAGTCGTCAGTCGTGATGTGAAGCAACAATATCCATTTGAAGGTTTTAACATTGACGGCAAAGGTCCAACTAAACTAATGTCATCCTTCTCGCAATGGATAAACGAGGGTCTTTACAAGCATCATGCAAAAAAGTAAAGTCGTTAAACTATTATTAGTATTTTTTCTTGTTATCCACTAAATAATTATTTATAATGATTACACAATTGCAGAA